TTGAGTATATTTATAATTTTTTTTAATATAAATTATAGATTTATATATAATCACCTCGTCATGCAATTCAACCAGTGACCTAGGGGTGTTAACGAGCCGAGCCGAGCTTTGGTCTTAACGGACCGAGCCTGTGTTCAAATGTGTCAGACTGGCCTTAGCCTGTTACCTGTTACGAATATAATATCAGCCTGTGGCCTTGCTCATTTACAAAAAACAAAAGTCTGGTTTAGCCTGTTTTAAAAAAATAAGACAACAAAAATTTATCCAAATAAAATATACAATCAAAAGCACTAGTAATTCCATAAATATTCATAAATTTAATGTATATCCAAATAGCATAATATAAAATAAAATCATTCAAAAAGTATGTTTAATTAATAAAATGGGATGAAATGAATTGAGAAGAGAGAGAGGGCTATCACAAGTAGTATAAAAAAAAAAATATTAGGCAAGTCTGAGAGGCTCTAAGGCCAAGATTTTGAATGAGAGTATGAGGCCTTTTTATTAAACGAGCTTTTATACAAGTCCAAGCCTGGGTCCAACAATCAATTTTAGACATGTAAGATCAGACCTTCACGAGCTGAGCCAAAGGCCCCTGACTCGTTTAACACCCCTACAGTGACCTATTGGTTGAATCAGTGACCCAGTACTTCGACCGGATCATTGACCGGGCTGATTTTAATAACATTGAACAAAACAATAAAAAAGAATAAACATGCAGAGTCATTGAAATATAAGTGGATTTGCTAATAAAATATTTTTGTTAATGTTATATTGAACAGATTCAGCGCTAAATTGAGTGCTCTAAAAAAAGTTTGTTATTATTGAATTGTAAACTTTGTTTATTTAATACAACATTGCATTTAAATAGCTAGTGCTGTTGTTACCAACAGTCAGAGAGGAGAAAAAAAATTTAAAACAAGATTACTTTTAAAGTAAATATTTTATATTTTTCGTGTTCATATGATTAATATTTTCGAATTTTAGAATTTTTTAAAATCATAGTTGAAATTTTCCAGCTATCCACTTTGTGCATTTGAGCTCTTAAATAATTTTTCTTTCGACACTTCAATTTGTCAATACTTTATGAAATTGCGAATGAAATTTACTATTTTCTCCACTTCATATAACTTAACTAATAATAATAAGGTTTTTATACTTCTGCTATCACTTTAGAAGAAATTTTTTGCAGCAACACATAGAAAGTCAGAATACACATGTAGGTCCTATTTTTTTTTAAAAAAAAAAACCGATGGGACCCACTGTTTCTAACATAATCTAAAAATAACAAAAGAAAAATAATTAATAATTATTGAAAAGCCTTAAATTATTGAATAAACTATAAAAAGCCTAAAATTATTGATGCCCATGGAAACACGACGAGTTTTGCTCATAAACTCATTTCGAGTTGGTTATCTAATATGAGCCCAATTCAAATCAATCAGCTCAGATACATCATCCTCCCCCATTAGTAAAAGATTCGCCCTCGAATCTGCATCATCTTCATTGATGTTAACTTTTTCAGGTGGTAATCCAGATGACAACTCTTCTGGTACAATATCACCAAATTTCCTAATTAAGGGTAGAATTTGTGAATGCAATTCTTTAATATACCTGAAATATTCATCTACATTTGAACTAAATTGTTTGGGAACCAGAAATAATGCGAGTTCTAACAGAGTAAGTGGACAAGACCCATAGACTAACCCAAAAGGACTATTGCCTGCAGTTTGGTTCAATGATTGCATCTATGATTTGTCATAGGAAAAATCTTCCTATATAACATTAAATCCCATTGCCCCTGACAATCTACAATTAACATTTTATCAAAAGCTAAATTTTTATCTCAATGGAGCATGAGGTTGTTATGCCCGTTGTGCCTAAATTCATAATATTGCTTGCAAACTAAAGACTTCTTGAATGAAGGATTATTCTGCATGACATCTTTGGGTAAAACTTTTTCTTTGTCAAAGATATTAGAATTTCTAGTAATTGATTTTCCATTGAAATCGCTATAAGGAATTTCTTCAGCCTCTGGATTATCTTCGTCTTGCTCCAACATTAACTGGATCATCCATAATCAGATTCTCATCATCTTGCTCTTCATCGGATTCATCATAGATAGGGACCTTATATAGAATGGATACTCATTGTTATTCTTTTCTTTGGATTCATAATAGAGAGGGACCTTCCGGTCTTTTGTGAAGTCTCTGATTTTAGAGACCTTTTCGACGGTGTGTAGCTAGTCGATAAGCTCATATAGATGAGTTGTGCCCTCGAATTCCGAAATCTCAATCTTCACCTCACTATTAGCAAAAAATGATTTATCGCCAGGTTGACTTTGTCCTTGTCTCTTTTGGTTTCATGATTGGTTTTCGCTCCTTTCTTCTACGTGAGATGATCTTTTAGACTCTCTTCCTTTATCTGACTCGTCCAACTTTGTTAGGGCAAGCAGTTGTTTGAGCTCCTAAATTCGTCTATCTTGTTCTGTCACTGTAGCGGCCATTGCAGCTACAATTACGGCATCTCACGTGTAGATGTGTGGTTGTTTGCCATCGCGGTAGAGGGTGCTACCACACCCTCTACCGCCGCCATCGCCTCAACTCCACCATCCATGACCTCGACCTCAATCACCATTGTTCTGTTCAGCCATTTATTTGGTAATCGTATCAAAGAATTGCATTCACAAACTCTACCCTTAATTAGGGAATTTGATGATATTGTGCCAGAAGATTTCCCACATGGATTATCACCTAAAGAATTTGACATCAATGAAGACGACGTAGATTCGACGGAGAATCTTTTCCTAGCGAGGGAGGAGGATGTTCCTATTGATTTGGATTGAACTCAAATTTGGATAGCCAACTCCAAATGGGTTTCTAAGGAAGACTTGTCATGTTGTTATGGGCATCTACAGTTTTGGGCTTTTCCATAGTTTATTCCATAGTTCAAGACTTTTCAATAATTGTTAATTATTTACCTTTTTTTGTTATTTCTTAGATTATGTTTGAGTGTGCATTAATTGCGCGTTATCTCTTTTAACTGTGCATTATTCTTTTAGATTATGTTTGATTTTTTTTCATTTTATTTTGTTTGCCTATTTAAGGCTTGGAGGACCATATTGTTATTTGATTATTTTTGGTTAATAAAATTCAGAAAAGAAAAATAGTATTTTATCGTACTTCTTGTGTTCATTTCTCTCTCTTTTTAGTTAATTGGTTACTACTTCGGCATTATTTAAGCTTTTGAGTTGAATTGATTCTTTACTTGGTATTAAAGCATTGGTCGGTGTCATGTGTTCGATTCTTGCCACCCCCATTTTCTTTGTAGAATTTCTTAGCATGGGTAGGCTGAGGCTGATGCATCTTCCACCTTTCAAGCCCAATGAGCTCCCTTATAAGGGTGTGTGTTAGAGATATATAAAAATATTAATATAATCTCATCCACTAACTTAAGCTTTTAGGTTGAATTGATTCTTTACACACCAAAAAAAGTGGTATAGCCAATGTTATTAAAACTGGCCCGGTCACTGACCCGGTCGAGGTACTGGGTCACTGGTTCAACCGCATGACCCGGTAATTATATGTAATTTTATGATTTATATTAAAAAATTATAAACATACTCAAATATCTAAAAAAAAATGATAAAAATTTCAAATATTTTAATATAAAAAATAATAAATCACATATTATTATCCAATAAAGGATCAAACAAAAATATAATGATCGTGATACGGGGCTTTATATTTAGAAAATGACATCTCTAACTATAAATCAAATCAAAATTTTCTGGATAGTGAATAATTGAGATAATATTAGTGTTATCGGTACATAACTTATGTAAGTCAATAAGAAAAAAAAATTCAAATATGTCTATTATGATTTTTTTTTTAAAAAATAAATAATTTTTTTTTGAACCGGGCCCGGTCACCGGTTAACCGATCGGGTCACCGGTTTTCATAAAAATCAGCCGGGTTAGACCGAGTCACACCGATTCTGATGCATGACCGGTCCGTTGCTTCAACCGGACCGGTTATATGACCGGTTCACCGGTTCCCGGGTCGACCCGGTCCAGTTTTAATAACAATGGGTATAGCTATATCAGAAAGTGAGGACCCTAATAATAAAATATATTGGGGAATGTTATATTCACAAACTCTTACAAACTACACTATGTCTGACCGGTCATACACTAATCAAGAGTGTATGACCGGTCATACTTAGTGTAGTTTGCAAAAAGAATTTGTAAACGGATTCTTCCCAAACATATTTGCCATCCACATTTTTTTTTGAGTAAATACCTTTTTTGGTCCTCCGCAAAGTTTATGATGCCCGCTTTAGTGCCTAGTAAATAAAAAAGCTATTCATGGTCCCTAAGAAATTCAAAATGGACCCATTTTAATCTTTTTGAGGGACTAATGTGGGTCTTTTTTGAATTTGTGAGGAACCACAATTTCAATTAAATGGGTTTATTTTGAATTTCTTAGGGCTACGAATAGCCTTTTTATTTGATAGGGACTAAAGCGAACTTCGTGAAATTTGCTGAGGAAAAAAAAGTTATTTACTTTTTTTTTTAAATAATATAAAAGACGGATAGGTGATAAGGTAATAGGTTCTAGGCTAACAGAAGAGAGGAAAAATAGAAGACGAAAAGTAGAAAGGGAAATTGGTAGAGTATTGATAACGGCGAAGACTTTGACTTTTAAGTTGACTTGGATGCAATTGAACGTCCAGTTCCACATAAAAGTATTAATAGTTTAATTATGTGGAATATGGTTAATTATGTGGAACGTATAATTATAGTTTAATTAGAAGTATTAATATTGAAAACGCAGTATGTAAAATGTCGTAGACGAGTCTTGATATCAAGAATAAGGATAAATATTTTGGCTAGATAAGAGGTGTGTGGAGGAGGAGAAAATTATCCGTGGTTCCTTTGAAAAATTTGATAAGTAGATAAGACTATAAATGAAAGAAAGGAGTAAAGGGGAAATATTTTTTTCACATTTTGACAAAGAGCCCACCAATTATTGGTGGTTATGTACCTCTGAAATTTTTTTAGTGAAAGAACTTCTGATGAGTATACATTTTGATAGTTTCAATAAACATTAATAGATTTGAGTATTGAAGATTTTTAAAGATGGAAGTTACTAATGTTTTGTCATCAAGTAGCTTCACTAAGAGCATGAGAACCATTGTCATCATCTTCCTCCTTTATGTGTGGCTGCTATGTTTTTTCCAACCATGTATTGCAACGGATGTTTTGAAAGTTGGCGACAAGATAACTGGAGATCAAAGGATTGTTTCAGCTGGAAAAAAATTTGTTCTAGGCTTTTTTTCTCCACAGAAAAGCACCAATGGTCTAGAATGTTACATAGGGATATGGTATAACCAATCAGAAAACTTAAACCCGGAAACAGTGGTGTGGGTTGGCAACAGAGACAACCCTGTAGATTCTAGTGGAATTTTTCAAATCGCAAATGATGGGAATCTAGTAGTAAAAGATTCATCTGGACAAATCTATTGGTCCTCTAAACTTGAAGGCTCCTCATCTAGAAACAAGACAATGAAGCTCATGGATTCTGGGAACTTGGTGTTACTAGATGACTTGGGAACGAGTTACCTCTGGCAAAGTTTCCGACACCCAACAGACACATTTCTTCCGGGCATGAAAATGGATGCAAATTTGACGTTGACTTCTTGGAGAAGCGCCGATGACCCTAGAAGTGGGAGCTTCACATTTAAGCTGCCTATAACTGGGGACACTCGAAACTTCATGGTATACAACCAGTCACAACTTTACTGGGCACATGATGGACTCGATTCAGAAGACATGTCCCCAGTAATTAACTTTTTGGATAACTTTACCTTAAACGTTTCGTCGTTCAAGTATCTTAACCAAACGATGTCCTTGAAACAGTATGACTATGGGGTTTCAAGGCTGTTAATGAATTATACAGGGGAGTTTCAGTTTCTGAAGTTGGACAACTTAAAATGGTCAAATATATGCGGGAGACCAGCTGACAAGTGTGACATACATAACTATTGCGGGAGCTTTAGTAGCTGCAACAAAAATAATTGGATTACCTGCAAATGTTTGCCCGGATTCAGTCCAATTTCGAAGGATAATCAGCACCTGGGAGAGCGATTCCAAGGGTGTGTCAGAACATCAACATCATGTACCAACATGAAGTTCCTGACCTTAAAGATGATAAAAGTGGGCAACCCAGACAAAAGATTCTCAACAGTATCAGAAGCAGAATGCAAATCTTTATGCCTTAATAGGTGTCTCAACTCCCAGTGTCAGGCTTATTCATACAATTTGTCTTCTTCATACAATCGTAGTCCCTTAACATGCGGGATTTGGACACGGGATTTACCAACTCTTCAAGAAGAGCAGCATGATGAAGAGCGTGATCTTTCTATCCTGGTCAAGAGTTCAGATATTGGTAATTTATATCTTCTTAAATCATCTTTTATTTGGTAAAGATGTTGATTTACATTGTTTTCAAATTACAATAGGGACTAGGGAGGGGGCAAAAGTGTTATTTTTTTTTTTTTTATATATTCTTGTGCAGCATCAACTCCAAGATCGTGTGAACCTTGCGGCACATATATGATTCCTTATCCCCTAAGCACTGGGCCAAACTGTGGAGACCCCATGTACAACAAGTTCAATTGCGATAACTCAACAGGCCAGGTTAGCTTCATGATGCCGGGAGAAAAATCATACCAAGTTACTTGGATCGATGAACATGCTAGAAGGTTTTCCATCCAAACGAATGATTCATATCACTGTGATTCCATTTCCGGCTATCAAAACGACAAGGTTAATGCTCCATTTAATGTGACTGATTGGTGCTTTAAGGATGATCAAATAGAGATCAGTTGGCTACCAGCACCAGAACCTGCCTGTAGTGAGTATAAAGACTGCAAGAATTGGCTCCATTCAACATGCAACGCAACAAGTGAAGGGCAAAGAAGGTGCCTTTGTGATTCTAACTATCAGTGGAATGCCTCAAATTTAAGCTGTACCCAAGGTTAAGTTTTTATTATACGTATTTCTTGTTGTTTACTTTTCTGATTTTCTCTCGTAACTGGATAAAGGTTTGCTAGATAAGAAAGATTTTATTTGACTTGTGTTTCCTTCCTCTGCCAAGAAATGTTGTTCCAATTAAGAACACACTTTCAAGAGATTTTCTTCTGAGTGTACATGAATTTATTGTATCCTGTTGAGCTGGGATTAGTCCTGGATTTTCCAACCTCCTTTAAACAATGCCACGACTAAGATGTTAAATAAACTGCAGCGTCAACAAGGGTGTTTTGGTTGTACAATTTTAATAGTATATTATGCCCTCTTAACTTTTGCATTTTATTTCCATCCTTTTTCAGAAGATCCATCAAGAAGCCCTTCAACCAACCGACTGCCATTGATTCTTTCACTAATTCTTGCATGCATGGTTATTCTGGCATGCACTATAGTATTTGCTTATGTGCGGAGAAAGAAAATAGCCCAAAAGCTTGGTAAATTATTTTACTTTTGCATTTTGAATTAAAAAACTATCATCTTCATCCATGCAACCAAGGTTATACATCTCTTTATTGAGTTCAGATGGTGTAAGCACTCGAATTCAGGAGAGCTTGTACGATAGTGAAAGACATGTGAAGCATTTGATTGGCTTGGGAAGTTTAGAAGAAAAAGACAGTGAAGGCATTGAAGTACCGTATTATACTTTTCGAAGTATTCTAGCAGCTACAGATAATTTCTCGGATTCAAACAAGCTTGGACAAGGAGGTTATGGGCCTGTCTATAAGGTAATTAGTTCAGGCCATTTAACTTAATTACCAACCAAGCATTGAGTCTAAGCAAAGGATATTAAAGTGATGAAGTCTCGTATTGGGTTAAGTAAAAACAATACAAGTGGATGGTTCCATGAATCTAATTTTTTAAGGTTTTGGGTTGAGATATGATATTAGACCTATTTGTTACTGTTGGGCTAACTTAACACATTGATGACGATCTTTTGCCGTGAGCTTCCCCTAGCCTACCCGACAAAGATATCAGAGTTGGATTGGACTCGAGATAACCTAGTGTTTGGCTAGAGGCGAGGAGAGGTCTATGTTGAGGGAAAATATACTAATGTGGGGTTGCAGGGGGAGATTGTTGGGATATTTAAATGTAATGAAGTCCCGTATTGATTTGTAATGGTTTAAGTGAAGACCATATAAGTAGATGGACCCATGAACTCAATATCTTAAGATTTTTTATTTTTGGGTTGAGATATGGTGTCGGTTCTACTTGCTAAGGTTGATATAACTTATCACATTGATGGAGGTTCCACACCACGAGCTTCCCCTAACCCAGCTAACAAGCAAGAATTTCTGCTTATATATGGTAATATTTTTATCCAGGGAAGGTTTCCTAGAGGTCATGACGCCGCTGTGAAGAGACTTTCAAGTGTTTCGGCTCAAGGCTTACAAGAATTCAAAAATGAGGTTGTTTTGATTGCCAAACTTCAACATAGGAACCTTGTTAGACTCAGGGGATACAGCATCAAAGGAGACGAAAAAATCTTAGTCTATGAATACATGCCAAACAAGAGCTTGGACTCATTTATATTTGGTTAGTTTCACATATTCCATCATAAAACTTTTATATAGTTTACTTTAATTTTTACTATCATAATTTACTAATCTTATTTCTTTCAAATGTTAAATGTAAATATTGAAAGACCGGACACGAACTTTACTTCTGGATTGGCACATGCGATTTGACATAATTCTAGGCATTGCACGAGGGTTGCTCTATCTTCACCAAGACTCCAGGTTGAGAGTGATTCATAGAGACCTAAAATCAAGCAACATTCTTTTAGATGAGGAGATGAATCCAAAGATTTCAGACTTTGGCCTTGCCAAAATATTTGGGGGAAAAGAGACCGAAGCAAGCACACAGAGAGTAGTGGGAACCTAGTAAGTTCACTTAGTATATGTTATTGTAAATGTCTCAATTGTTAATTCCTGAGTTTTTGTTTATAATGATATTTGCACATGCTTGCTACATGTAACAATCAATTATTCACAGTGGATATATGGCTCCAGAGTATGCCTTGGATGGACTTTTTTCAATCAAATCTGATGTTTTCAGCTTTGGTGTAGTCCTATTAGAGATTCTCAGTGGAAAAAGGAACACAGGATTCTATGAGTCTAAACAAATTTCTAGCCTTTTGGGTTATGTATGTGTCTCTTCTGTTGCACTCTTGTTTTTTTTGGTGATATGTTGACTTGCCAATAATTTCTCTAGACATTGTTATCAGGCATGGGGATTATGGACAGAGAATAAATTGCTAGATTTAATGGACCCATCTGTGGGTGAATCATGCAATGAAAATCAATTCGTTAAGTGTGCACATATTGGTCTCTTATGCGTACAAGATGACCCAGGTGATCGACCCACCATGGCAAACGTTATGACAATGCTTGACAGTGAAATTGCAACCATCCCAATTCCTACACAACCAACATTTTTTGTGAGGAATCGTCTTTCAAGCACAGCTTCTTCTTCTAGCAAACCAGAAATAAGTCTGCAATTTGATTCCAGTTATGTAGAAGGTCGATAGTGTATGAGGCTCTAATGTGGGAAACTGTTTCGCATAATCCCTGGGTTTATTATTATCTTCTTATTTTGTAATGTTTTTATTTTTGCAATGCTAATGGGAAGTGTCCTAGTCAGCATTTTAAATTGGAAGTTAAGTTCTTCCCATTAACGGGATGTATTTTCATATAGATACAGTTTACACTCTACCTATGTTTTTTTTTATTGTTGCTATGATCAGCATAGTTTTTTGTAATCTTGGGTATCCTTTTGAGAGAAATTTTTAAAGTGATCTGGGATCACTTTTTTTTTGTGGTTTTTTTTTTTTTTTTTGGAATTTTTTTTTTCCTCTCAATCCCTCATTTTTTTAAAAATTCCCTTTCACTCTCTATTTTTTGCTATTTTGGAACGGGTTCACATGTACCCGGCCCACTACAACAAACCTCCCTTTTGAGTAGTTTGACAGCTAGTAAATTTCAGGGGTTGAGTGTTGGCTGACTAGAACAGAATCGCATGCTAGTAGTGAATTAAAGAAAGGAGCCATTATAATTTGAATCCACTCTTAATTCATACCGATGGATCCAGAATTTTTAAACATTTATTATTACAATAACTTAAAATTGTATGTTTATATCAACACATATGAACAATATTATCGCCTATGATAAACAATGGATCGGATGATGGCCATTTCCAATAGCTCTCGAGTATGTTATCAAAATCAAACTAGAAAATGAATCAGTGAGATTTTCAATTCAACTTTGACCGTTTTAAGCAGCTATGTCTTTAATCTCATTTTTCTTTTTTAGATATCCTTTTAATTAGGTACGAGTTGTCTTGTGTTATCTCTCTGACACACATTTTACTTTCTTTGTGCCAAGGACGCACATAGGACATTTGCCAATTTTTTTTATTGCTGGATAGGTTCTCTTCTCCGAATATTATTGGACAGCTGACAAAATATTTTGTTCCCATATCTTCATCATTTTTGCGGAAGGGACTATAGTGGCCTACTTGAAGATTGATCCTAAACGAATCCAATCCTCACATGTTGCCAAGAAATTGAGCCTGGTTCACACCATGCTACATTTTTATTCAACATTAGCACTTAAAAACGAAATTTTTTTGCCACATGGATGATTAATGAAAGGATACCCGCCCAATGTCTTAATTAAATATCTCTCGTAGTCGGATCTTTAGAAAAAAAAAAGAGCAAAAGAAAGCAAAGGACACCTATTCAATGTCACTTTTCGGTTAATTTTTTTTTTATTTTTTTTGTTGTTTTTGTACAAAAGACTATACAGCTTTGATGGAAAAAATATGTATATTTTTAAAGGACATAAACTTAAGTTATTTTAAGAAAGAAATAGACATAAAAAGATATCTCTCTTTTAAAAGGACCTAAGTTTATATTAGCACATATTTTTTTCAGCTTTGATAACTAAAGAATATTATCATATTTTGAACTAGGTTTAATGGTAAACTAAAAAAAAAAAAAAGTATAGATTCATTGTGAATCTGTGATGATTAATTTCGAATTATAGACAAGACATACCCATGTCATACATTTATTTTGAGAAAAAACAAGACATGTTTGCAATGAGAGTTAGCTTAACTGTTAAGTCCAATAGACAAAGAGGTTTTAGATTTGAATTTTGCTTGCTTAAGGCTGGTAGCACATCTTGCACAACCTCCTACCTAGACTTTTAATTAAAAAGAAGAAAAAGAAGAAGAAGCAAGGCATGTAATACTTACCCGGATATTTCTTTTTCCTTTCGTGCCACTTTCATTGTCCATTGCTTGTGACTGGGGTGAGCTTGGAATAGGCAATTAAAGGTGAATGCCATATTTAAATTCGATAGATTTCTACCCATCACGTTGTCATAATGCTCACGTGAATTAGATGAGAGGCATTGACTAAGTTGCTTCTGACCTCTTGCTAATGCTAACTACAAGAAATGTTCTCAGCCCACAGTTTGACCTGGTGAAGAGAGTGTTCAGATTGGGTTCTTGATCAACCCATCCACTCCAATACGACTCGAAATATAATTGGGCAGCCAAGACACATTCAGACTAGTGGCCTTGTGGGCTTCATTCCCATTTTTAATAGTTCACTTTGCTCCCAATTCTTTATCATACTCGTTTATCCCGAATATTAAAGGGTTACATTTATCTTATGTCGCATGAGATAAATAAGTTTTCTATACAAATCAAATGAGGGTGGATTTCATATTTATTTTTTTTCTTTCTTTTTATATGTGAGTCTCATTTATAATTTTATTTTTATAATGTAAAATAACAATTTTCCTACAACATAAAATAAATATAACTCAATAATAAAATATCATTTTGATGCTTAGTTTCTAATCAGTGTTCGTTAGCCAGTTGCTTTGAACTTTGAACGTCACGAATGTGCAGGCTTTTTTTTTTGTTGAAGTATAAATCTTCAAAAAAAAAATTGTGAATCGTTGTAGTTTGATTTTTTTTTTTTACGAATATGGGATAGCCTTTACACGTATCTCTCTCCTAACAAATGAATGCAGTTTTTCTTTCTTTATTTTTTCCTCCTTTAAAATATTTAAGATTTTTTTTTTCCTAAATGTAAATGTGGTATAAATGAAGTTGAATCTGTACCAAATGAATTTTTTTTTTCTTATATCCTTCGAATGTAGCAGAATGTATCAATAATTAATTCATTCTTAAAAATTTCATTAATGTCTCTAATAAAATGCATAGGTAAAGGTTGAAGTTGGGGGAAGAACCTACAACTGAATATGTAATTGAGTTGGGTAAGGTTTGGCCAAAGTAAATATTCTTCTACCCAACTAGATTCGTGTTTATTTTGTAAAACCACATTGTTTATTCATATTGCTTTTAATTAAGTATTCAAACAATTTTAACATTACAGGAGAAAAGAAGAGGAATAAAGAGAGATAATTCAGAATAGGATCATGTTTATTCTTTCAAAAAGTACCAGCGGGGAAACTAAACCGGTGTTTCTTATATGAGTTTTATGTTTATTATTTTACATAATATACTTTTATTTTTTTACACACACATTAAAGAGGTGAGTCCACATATTTTTCTTTCTCTTTCATCATTTCACTTCCTCTCTTCTTTTTATTGTGTGTGTGTTAGAAATAACAGTTATATTATGTAACATAACATTATTAAAACCCTCCAGTATTGTAAATAAATAAAGAATCCACCGAACCAAGAACATGACAAATTCTAAGGTTTGGAGCTCGGGTTCCTTGTGAATTGTGACTTGACCAAAGTGTTTGTGCATTTGACCCAATCTTTTGGTCCCCCTTTGACCACAATCTCCTTGATATTAATTGCTGAAAGTCAATTATGACAAAAATGGTAAACATATTGCTTGACGAATAATTGGCACTAAGAGATGAAATTTATCAAAGTAGAAAAATGCAAGAGAATCATGATTTTTTAATTTTCAGATGGGTAAGTAAACCATACCACTTTACTCCATCTTACAAATATTATTATCATTATTTTTTATAAATCTGACAACTCTCCTTGAGCAAAGCTGAATTTTCAAAATTCTATTTTTTCTTTCTTGCTGCTAGCATTACTCTTAAGAATTAAGATTATAATTAAACTGGAAATTTTTAATTTATTTATATTGTCACTCTAATAAGCTTAGAAGATTATAATTATGAATGAATAACTGCGTGAAAGTGAAGCTCAATAGATAAATCAATTGTAATTGACAGAAATGCCCCTGACAAACTTCTTGGAAGCAGGGAAGCAATTGCGGTCTGTTGTGCGGAATCAAAGCCATGCAGCTAATAATTCTCTGTTCCTTGGCTGTCATCTGATGAGGGTTCATAAAGTTTCTATCTTCTCTTTCCTTGAACCCTCTTTATATTCTTATTTATCTCTATATAAACTGTTCAATATGACCATTCACCACCCTCACCAAAGAAACTCACATACCATATTCATTTTTTTCTCTTGACATCAAGGGATGGCTGGGATTGGCAAAGGAGTTGATTTTGAGGATTTGCTGCCATTGATTTCCAATAAACTAGGTGGTGAAGGTCTTATAAAGGAGCTATGTAATGGGTTTGAGTTGCTGATGGACAAGGAAAAAGGAGTGATCACATTGGACAGCTTGAAGAAGAACTCATCTCTCCTGGGTTTGCAGGATTTGAAGGAGGATGAGTTGGTTAGCATGATGAAGGAAGGAGATCTTGATGGTGATGGGGCTCTCACTCAGATGGAGTTCTGTGTTTTGATGTTCAGATTGAGTCCACAGTTGATGAATGAGTCCTGGTTTTGGCTTGAAGAGATTCTGCACCATGAACTCAACTTATGAAGGGACATCTCATTCTTGTTTCAGTTGTTTCTTAATATAAGTCATCCTTCTACCATTGTTATCCTTTCTTTTGGTTCTTGATTATGTTGCTTCTCTTTTTCACAATTAAAATTGGATAGAAAAGAAATGCAATTATACATGTACTACACCCATTCACCCTAAAGAACAGAGAGTTGGATGATTTGCTTTTAATATCTATATTTTTCTGGATGTACACAGGGAAAAAAAATATTGGGCAATTGATTACATATTTATATTCGTTTTTTATTTTTTTTTTCATTGACAAATCAGTACTCACAGTGGCTGAGTTGAATTCAATTCCTTCTGCTAGCATGTTTTTGTTAACTTAGTGTTGGTTTATCAGGAGTGCAAATCCACACAACCAAACTCCAGTTAGTGCATATGAATATAAGGGCCCTTATTGGAAATAAATTTTAAATCACTCTGGAGTAATGTTCTCAATTGAGATTTGATCTAACATTTACTAAATAATCTTAAATTTAATCTAAAAACGTGTTTAGTTACCTAGCCTAGTTTTTGTGTTATATTTTAGTCTTTTGTTTGATTTTTTCTGATTTTCCATTTTTATTTATTTATTTTGGGTGGAAGCTTTTTATTGGATTTTTTTGCTTTCTTTGCTCTGAAGATTTGATTCAATTGCTTTGAATGGCAGAGAATCCAGAGATATTTTCAATTTCTTGCTGTCTTTACCCGACGTCAAACAGAGGAAGGTTCACCGGCAAAGAGAGATATAGTGGATATGGCTCTGGCAAAGTAAAATAGGGTTAAGGGTTCAATGTGTTTTAATTAATTTTAATTTGGGGTTGAATTGTAAATTGGTCAACTAAGCAATGCGAATTAGAAAGCCCTACAAAGCAAATTGGTCAACTTAGCAATGCGAATTAGAAAGCCCTACAAAGCAAATTGGTCAATTCATTGTTACCACCAAAAACGTACATGATAAGGATTGTTGCAATTTAATTAGTCATTTTGAGTTTGAATCTAGCTGTGTTAAAATTTAGTAGGAAGAGTTTTGCTAGCTATGTAGTCCTATCCAGCTCGAATTGAATTAGTTAAATATTCGATGAATTGATAAATAATATATAAAAAAAAGATAACTTAAATAGTCAATTAACCATTCATTGATAAACGATGCAACCTATGATAAACTATGCAACCTATAAAAATATGAACATATAAATTCAATTATATTCTCCATATCTAAAATGAATTAAACAATGTTCATTAAATAAACTAAAAAATAAGAAGCATAAATAAATAAAAAATGAATGCTATTACTATGTCAATTTAAATTACAAAAAGTTTTAAAATGAGTTCTACATTTTTTTGACAAGATGAAACAATTTTGGTTTTTTTTTTTTTTTGGTAAAATAGAGGGGTCAAGCCCCAGAAAACCAGAAGAAACAAAACAAAGCAGAAAAAGAAGACAGAAACCAGAAAATCAAAAATCTGGACACAGCCAGAACATCCATCTCAGGAGACAGCGTTGGTGTAGCCAGGATCCAACAGGTCGGCTTCAAGCAAGTTGATAAGTTCACTGTGGGGAGTTGCAATAGAAACAAAACCATGGTGATCATTCATAGCCCTCTTTGCCATCCAATCCGCACACATGTTGCAGGATCTCTTGATATGATTCATTGAGACAATCCAGTCTTTATTGAGTAAGACTCGAATCTTAGCAACCAATGGGAGCTTTCGAGTATCATTACCATGAGAGGTAAGCAAGCCTAAAGCTTGAGTTGAATCTGATTCCAGACATATTTTCTTCCAACCTTGATTCCAAGCATGAGAAAGGCCATGAAAAATAGCCCACAATTCAGCTTGGAGGGGATTGCAGGAACCAATGAAGACCGAAAATCCACTGACCCAAGAGCCTCTCCAATCTCTCAACAGCCCTCCACAAGCAGCTTTATGACCAACAGTAGCACCATCCATATTAAGTTTCAGATAGTCTTGTATCGGAGCAATCCAGCCAGACCTGGAAGGAGAGGGTAGCGTAGACAGAATACCAAGAATTTTAGAGTCCTTGCAAAGCTGCAATTCCTCAACAGAAGCAGAAATAAATGCTGAAATGTCAATCGGTCTCTTGAAATCCTCTTCATGGATTGCTTTATTCCTCCAAAGCCAAAGAATATTGCAGATAACAAAGAAGTAGTCTCTCCAATCCCTTAAAAGCCCTTTTTTATAATTCAGATTGTAGGACATCCATTCCTTAAAGCAACCGGTGTTGAAAAACTTTTCAGGCAGCGGTAGCAGTAAGGGCAGAAGCCAAATATTTTTAGCCTTAACACAATCCCTAAAGACATGTAAACATGATTCAACCTTGTCTGGGAAAAAAGGACAGCAGTTAGTCGTGCCATTCCACTTTGCTGTTTTCTCCTTTGTAAGAATCCGATCATGTAGCATTTTCCACAAGTGAATCTTTGCTCTTTCTTTACCTTTCCAATCCCAGATTCGAGCCCAGTTTGAGGTGGTAGGACTGTTGCTCGAATTCGTTAAATTCCCATAAGCCATTTTAACAATGGACGTACCTAGCTTCCAATTGCTCCAGGAAACGAAATCTTCTTCAGCTTCCTCTTCAGAGTGAGGTAAAGCTAAAATCTTGTTAATCACACTCACATCAAAATGGTTCAACAGAAACTGCATATTCCAACCCTCCCTAGAACTAAAGGCATTGTCATTGACTTTGAGATCCACTACTTCAGGAGAAAGGGGGTTGATTGTATAGCTTAGAAGATTGGGACTTAAACCTGCCCAATTGTCCTTCCAGAAGGATATCTTCATTCCATTTTCAACCTGCCAGGTGAGATTGCCAATCATATCAGGCCAAACCTTGCCAAGGCTCTTCCATAAATGAGAGTCATAGGATCTACACACAATCTCCTTGGACAAGTCAATGTTACGACCATATTTTGCTTTCAGAACTTGAGCCCAGAGGTGAGAAGGCGAATTTAACAAAGTCCAAGCACATTTTTGTAGAAATGCTTCATTCTGTAATCTAAGATTAATGATCCCCAATCCTCCTTGAGCTTTAGGCAGCTTCAGGTGCTCCCAAGCAATGGCATGATGCCTCCTTTTAGACTCTGTGTCACCCCAAATAAAGTTTCTTTGCATTTTCTCAATCTCATCACAGATTCCTATAGGAAGCAGGCTGTTTTGCATATGGAACATGGGGATGGCAGAAATAACCAATTTGGCCAAAGTAATACGACCCGCCATAGATAAACACTGATTTTTCCAACCTTGTAACCTACTGTTGACTCTATCCAAGATTTCACCATAATGTTGTTTATCCACTCGACCATGTTTCATCTTATATCCAAGATATCTGCCAAGATTTTTTGAGTGTGCAAAACCACTAATTTCCACAATGGAGTCAACAATGTCAGTGGGAACATTCTTGGAGAAATATATATTGGATTTGAGATAACTCACCTTTTGACCAGATATATTACCAAAAGTTGCAAGACAGCTCATAATAATGTTGATCTGGGCAATGCTGGCTTCTCCAAAGAGTAGCAAGTCATCCGCGAACATGAGGTGAGAGATAAAGGCCCCACCTTTGCCAGCCCTCATGGGATTCCACTCTCTTCTGTCAATAGCATTAGCAATGAGATGAGATAGCTTTTCCATGCAGAGCACAAATATATAGGGGAAATGGGATCCCCTTGCCTCAAACCTCTACTTGGATGAATTCCTCCTGCCTTAGTACCATTCCACAGAATTTCCAATTCAGTTGAGGATATGCAGTGCATAATTAGATTCACCAAAGGTTCAGGTATGTGAGCCTCAGTCAGGACATTTCTGATAAAATCCCAGGACATGCGATCATACGCTTTCTCCATATCAATTTTGATGGTAAAGAATCCCCTTTTACCCTTCATTCTGCTCATAGAGTGCACCATCTCTTGGGCAATAACAATGTTATCTTGGATCTGTCTATTTGGAACAAAGCTAACTTGCTGAGGGGAGATGAACTTGCTTAGGAGAGGTTTGAGTTTTCCCACAATAAGCTTACTGATACCTTTATAGAGCACTGAACATAGGGCAATAGGACGGAATTGAGATATTCTGTCAGGTTTAGCCAGCTTTGGGATGAGGACCAAATACGTTTTATTGAGATCTCTCACTTCAGAGGGATTGGTCCAGATCTGCTTCACACAGGCTGCTACTTGATTCTTCAATAACTCCCAATTTTTTTGAAGAAAAAAGCCGGGAAGCCATCAGGTCTAGGAGCTTTCAAAGCATTCATAGAGAAAAAGATTTTCTGAATCTTTGAGGCTGTAATAGGCTCCTTTAAGGAAGCCAGATCTTCAGCTTCTAACTCGGGCCAGGTAGAGTTAGTATTCATCCAGATTCTGCTAGGAATTTCCTCTGTGAACAAATTGTTAAAGAAAGAATGGATGAGCTTTTCCAGATTATCCTTATCACGCACAAAATGTCCCTCATCATTTTTAAGCTCAAGGATTTTGTTTCTAGCTCTTCTGATTATGGTCGTGGTGTGGTAAAATTTAGTATTCCGATCACCATCTTTGATCCAATTGCATCTTGCCTTTTGGAACCAAAAGGCTTCTTCTTGATCCAAAACCCTGTTAAACTCTACCTGTAAAGCTTTATCCAGTTCTGTGTGAACCTGATCAGGATAGTCTTGAAAGTTGTTTTAGATATCTTTGAGTTTATTCAGTAAGACTTCTTTCCTAACATGAATGCACCCAAACACTCTCTTGTTCCACGACTTTAGAGGGTCCACAATATTGCTAAGGCCATTATTTATCCTGACATTGGGGCTCCAAACAGACTTGAGGAAATAAGGGAAAGTGCAATGTAATTGCCAAGCCGCTAGAAATCTAAACGGCCTATCATTCCAGGTTCTCTCTTCTGGAAAGAAATTGAGCAATAGAGGATTGTGATCTGAATTCAGTCTAGGTAGAGATCTGACCGAAGCTTCAGCAAACAAAATCCTCCAATCCGCATTAGCATAGACTCTATCTAGCCTCTTAAAAACCCTGTCCAAGTTAAGCCACTTAGGCCCCCTCCAAGTAAAAAGAGACCCTCTGCAACCAAGGTCCAGGACGTTACAATCATTCAGGAAGGTAGCGAATTTTTGACATCTGGCAAGATTAACCGGGGCACCACCTTTTTTCTCTTTAACAGAAGCAATTTCGTTAAAATCTCCCATCATGACCCAAGGCCCCAAATCAGACTCACTAAGCCTCTTGAGATCATCCCAGAGCTCTTCACGCATTTCCTCTCTAGGATTAGCATACACCACCGTTAAAAGAAAAAAACATCCAGTTCTAATGGAGCACTTCACATGGATATATTGTCTGGATTTTTCAATGAGCGAGACAGTAAAGAGTTCCTCCTTCCACAAAAGCCAGATACCTCCAGAAAAACCCACAGCATCTTCCACAATAAAATTGTTAAATCCCAGCTGCTTAATCTTCTTCTTGACATTGTTCCCACTGATTCTAGGCTCCAATATAGCAACCATACCAATCTGATATCTACGGACGAAATTTCTCAGGGATGTTTTGAATGAGTTTTTAGCTGCACCCCTGCAATTCCTCACTAGACAATTCATTTAATAACTAAAGAGGTTCCAGGATTACAGAGTACCTGGTCACTCTCTATCATATGCTCTGCAACATCATTGACAATAATGTTTTCCATCTCCATACCATCAGGATCATTTATATCCGGGGGAACAACATCACTGACAGGCTTCGCATATGTACTATTGGCAATCTCCATATCATCAGGCTTGTTGTTAAATTCACGCAAGACACACTGGGAAGGAATAACTGCAATATCATCGATGTTGTTTGAAGAAACCTTAACACACAGGTCCTTTACTGCCTCATTAGGAGAAATTTCCTTATTTTTGCAGCTAAGGCAGTCAATAGAGGAGGTGGAATCCTGTCCCAACTCAGTCTTATTAGTTGGAGACTTGGATGAAGGGAGCTCTGGAATTCTAGAGCTATTTTCTGCTACATGGG